AGTGAGCACCAGACTGGGCGCCTGGCACGTTTATTTCCTAAAATGGGGTTGCATGGCAAGACATTCGCAACACACTTCATCACCGCTGCTGTGTCCTAATAGCGCCAACTATGGGCCACACACAGCGCTGGGCACGTGAGACATGGCAGGCCAGGTGACATCTAGAATCGGATGCAAACGCACCGGAGCCTGCGTGTTCGGCATATTTGTACCCTCCTCTCTCTCTCCCTCTCCCTCTCCCTCACACACACGTGAGCCCATCACTGTCCGGGCTCACAGACACCAGGGCCTGCCTTTCTGTCTCGTCCCTCTGCCCACAGAGCATCTTTCCTCAGCCTGGACTGACCAGAATGCAAGAGGAACAGGGACTGTTCTTAGGGGCCCAGATAAGGAAGCAGAACGAGTCCCTGGGAGGGGAGGCAGGGTGAATGACGTTTGTGACATGCTCACGATGTGCCAGGAGCCTCACAGGCCTCGTCTCCTTGGGGGCTGGCGAGTCCCCTAATGAGGTAGGCACCCTGGTCCCATTGTACAGATGACAAAGCTGAGGCCAAGTGATGTTCTCGAGTCACGCAACAGGTATGGGAACACACGCTGGGGTGAAACATAAGGGACGGCGACCCCCATCCCCCCAACAGGACAGCTCGTCCAGCAGGGTGGCTGCAAGCCCCGACCTGACTTCCGACTCAGCCACTAGAAGCTGGGTGCCTGCGGGCGAGCTGTCTGTCCACCTTACCTGGCTCATCAGGGACCTGAGGGAGGAGAGGAGGGCTGGTCCCGGGGACTGGGCAGCAACCAGGCCACCAGGGAGTGGCTGGTACGCTGGAGAAGCTGGGCCCCAGACGCAGGGGTGAACTCGGGGTGACTGTGAGGATTGTTCCGGCCACAATGCGAGCTTTGGCTGAGGCCAACACACTTCTCTATTCTCCCCAGCCGCCTCCCACTGCCCCCGATCGCAGCTCGGAGGCCACGGGGTCACCAGCAAGCTTCCTGTCGGGCCTTCCTGAATGGTTAAGACGCTGGCTTTTCGTCCCAAGGCCCACACTGCCCAGGGAGCCCTTTGTCACAGCCTTGGTGCTCAGGCCGGGCAAACGGGGCTCATGGCGCCCCCCGAGGGCTGAGTACCTTCCTGGCAGCGCTCAGGGCTGAGGCGGGAACTGGGCCTGGAGCCCGCCTGCCCCAAGTCTGCCAGGGCCCTGGGAGCTCTGAACAATGCAGGTTTCGACACAAATGAGCTGGGCACTTTTCGCCACAGGGAAGGGGCAGAGTTGGGGGTGGGGGAAGGCAGAAAGGCAAGGGTCCAGCCAAGGAGGGCAGGAGGCCAGCAGCCCTATTTTGAACATTCAGGGCTGCTGCCGGCACCTCCTGTTGCCTGAAGAGATCAAACAATGAGCGGGGTGGGCAGGTGAGAGAGGCCGACGTTCCCAGGGCGCCTGTACCCCACCCTCCCCGCAGCATCCTGCTTGCTTGGGAAGGCCGAGCAGAGAAGTTACAGAGCGTGGGTAGCGACAGCGAGGCTGCCTGCGGCACCGCCCACGCGGGCTGAGCCCGGGCAGGTCACTGCACCTCTGCGCGCCTCAGTCCCTTCCTCTGTCAAACGGGGAGAACAACGGTGTCCACCTCCTACTTGGGTCGTGCGGGTTTAAAAAAAATAGAGAAAGGGCCGCTCGTGCCCTTCTGTTATTCCCTTGATCATCTTCTCCAGGATTCCAGACATGCCACTTTGTCGCCCTCATCTGTAAATGGGCAACGGAAGCCCAGGCGGCATGAGGACTTGTCCTGGGACACTCAGCCAGGGAGCTGCAGGGGCCAGGTCTTGTGGGTTTCAGCATTGACGCCCTTTCTCCCAAAGCTAAGCTTTTCGGGACCAGGAGCTCACAGAAAATCCGATGGCAACAAGAGATCCTCTTGCTGAGAGCGAAACACACGTGCACACGCCCACAGCATCTTTGGGCGTCCGCAGCCCCTCCAACACCGGCCCAGACCAGGACTCTTGGACCCACAGAGGCAAGGTGTCATGATTCGGCTTAAACACTCTTGTCTCCTATTTTTCTGTGCTCTGGAGAGAACTTCCTTTTGTTTTCAAAGGGCTGCCATGACTTTCTTTGGAAAACAGTATTGTAAGAACACAACTGGTATTTAATTTCAGGCTCTTTGGCCCCCCAAACTCGCAGGCTACCTCTTGCCACCTCTTCATGCTCCCAACAGGCGAGGTCGGCATGGAGGCTGACGCTCCTCTGTGCTTGCTGGTGACCCCTCCAGGCATCACGGTGACATCCTGCTTCCTGTCCCAGTATGCACTGCTGCTCCTGCCCCCTGAGAACCTGGCCCTCACCCCTGCCACAAGCCCTGATGTTTGCCACCAGATCCATCCTCTGTCCTGCTGTGTCCCCAGAAAGGCATCACTAGGGTCCTGGCTCTTTGGCTTAGGAACGGGACCGGCCAACAGGAGACCTGGCAGGAGAGCAGAGGGCAGAGGATGAGGAGCACCAAGAGTCCCCTCCCCGGCTCTGTCCCTCCCCACTAGGGGGCAGCCCGGGGCAGGGGAGGGCAGTAGCTCCTCAGCACCGCTCACTTCTGGGCCCCGCCCCCACCTCTCTCTGTAAGCAGTTCCGGGCCCTTCCCACCAACCTGCCCGGTGGCTTCCAGCTGGGACCAGGCCGGTGGGTCGGAGGGTCACTTTCGGCCGAGGGCTGTCCCCTTGCCGAGCCTTGGGAGGCTGTGCTCCTCAGACGGGCTCAGAAGGAACCCCAACTCACGGCCTGGCTCTGAGGCCCGACACTGGCCGCCTGCCACATCCTGAGGGTGGCCCCTGGCACAGAACACGCCCCGCACAAATGACAGCCGTCTTGGGTCACTTCAGTGCTGGCTGGGCCTCAGTTCTCTGACCCATCAAGCTGGGCAAATCGTGCCGCCTCACAGGGCGGGTGTGGAATTAACGGGAAGATGTGCACGTAAAACACCCGTCTTTGTTACATTCCTACTGCGCCTGGCCCGGCCGGGCCTCGGCCAGCAGCTGATCCGTGGCCGCGGGGAGAGCCAATCGTAGGAAACGCCCCAGCACGGGGCCAGGCAATAACGCTGTCTGTGGAGCTCAGTTTATTGGAAGGGGCTTCCCCGTGATGCCGGCAGAAGTGCTGAGCCTGCGCTCCCCGCAGGCCCGGGGGTGGGCGCCGGGAGAGTTCCTTACACAAACATTTGCCGATGGGTGCGTTTGCGCCTGTCAATGGCTGTCGATACGGATCGGTTCTCTCTCTGCGCAGCAGGATTTGGGGGCTTATTGAGTTGTGAGTCGGTGGACTGTGTACTCAGCCCTGATTTTTCTGGTTTCTGGCTCCTCCACGTCAGACTGAGGGCCTGGCCTGGGCCTGAACTGCGCAGGCCCGGGGGGCACAGAGAGGGACTGGTCCGCGAGAGAGGTGGGCACGAAGAGGGGGAGGCACGGGTCCAGTGAGTGTCGAAACCACGGAGGAATAAATGACAACGTGGCAGGATGTACAGGAACAGAGGTGGAAAGCAGAGGACAGGGCAATAACTGATACCTGGGGAGGCGCGGGGAAATGGAAGGCTTCCTGGAGGAGGTGTCATTGGAGCTGGGTGTTGAAGACTGGGTAGGCACTTGCCAAGTTAAAAAAAGTACTGAGAGGCAAGGCCTTCTCAGTAGAGGTAACAGCATGTGCGGAGATGCAGAGCCCTGCCCAGGGGTTGGGGAGTCATGATGTCTGGGAGGTGTCAGGCTGGGAAGGCACCGGGTGAGGGGGGGTACAGGAGGGTGTGGGGAGGGTCTCCTGAAGGGCTGGGCAGGCCAAGCCACAGTCAAGGGGCTTCTGTCTGGCCCGGAGTCCCAAGCGCACGCATGCGGGACGCAGTCTAGTGTCACTGAGACACGGCTCAGCCGGCCTGCTTGCTGCCCCAAGAGCAGTGAGGCCCAACTGGGGACTCACAGCTGCACAGAGCAGCCTCCCCGACACCTGCTGCTAAGCTGCTGCCTCTGCTGAGAAGCCAAGTGCCTCTGGCTGGGACAGCAACCGACCCCGTCCTGGTTCTGGGCTCCACCTCTACAGCCAGGTGGGGGGAGAGGCAGGTTTTGCAGCCAACAGCCTCTAGACTGTCCCCAGGCGACAGGGTTGGCCCCCAGCTGTCCAATGGGGACAGGGAGAGATGAAGGGAGCAGTGCAGGTGCTGGTGTAACGCGGCTCATCCAGGAAAGCACCGAGAGCTGCACCACACCTGCTGTCCTGGGACTTATGGGGGGACAGCCGCAACGTGCCACCCAAGACGTCGGAGCGCTGCGGGGACGCCGCAGGGGGACCACTGTGCCCTCCACAAAGCCAGCCTCTCCGGCCCCCCCCACCTGCCCCTCCACCATGTGCCACGCTCACACCAACCCAGGGGTCCCTTTGCCCAGGCAGCTCTTCCCTGGGTACAAATGTCACCTCTGCGGGGAGGCCCTCCTGCACCACCTGCTCAGACAATGTGCCCAGCCTCTTCCACCTGGACCCATAGCCCCACTAGGTCACTGCTGCACCCTGAGCTGCAGAACAGAGCAGGTGCTCACTAGTACTCTCCAGGAATGGGCTGAGTAATCGGCGAGGCCACGTGACACCGCAAAGGTGTGTAAGAGGAGGAGTTCAGTGTTGTCACCATCAGGGCCCTGGCAGGAAGTGGGGGGTCCTGAAATCGGGTCACCGAGGAGGGTCCAGCTGGCGCGAGTGGCCCCTGGGCCGGCCAGTGGAACCCGGGCAGAGCACGCAGGGTGGTGAGGCCAGTGGACGGGAGCCCTCGGGCAGGAGTGCCGCGGCCACCCGGTAGGAAGGGAGGCAGGAAGGGAGGCAGGGGATGCACTCCTGGCCTCTCTCCTCCTCTCCCCTCTTTCCTGCCAGGCCTCCCAACGCCCGACCCGAAGCCAAAAGGGCACGCAGGCCCCCGATGCATCCCCCTGGCCGCCTCCTGGACCCTGAGGCCCGGAGTAGTCACCCCAGCAGCCCGGCTGCTCTTACCGTGGAAGTGCTCGGCCGTCTTCCGCCGCAGGGCCTGCAGGGTCACCTCGGAGTCGGCCCACTCCAGGACCAGCCTCCGGCCGTACAGGTGGGTGCTGTGACACAGGGCGTTGAAGGCTCTCTGGGGTGGCAGGGATGAGACACAAAACACAGCGTGTTAGCTAAGGCCTCACCTCGGATGCTCCGCTGTGCCCCCGGCCAATGGTACCACGGACTCCGAGGCCGGCTTCCGGCCATGGGACACCTGTTCTCAGCAAGGTCGTGGGAGCCGCTGGACACACCTATCTAACTACTGGGTTACGTTCCCAGGGAGAGAGAGGCAACATACCTCTCTTAGTATACCCGCCACTGGGGCCTGTTGCTGGGGCTGACCCCAGGCGGAGGCTCCTTCCCTGCAGCATGTCCTGCCTGGGGAGGGCGGCCCGTGACCCGGCCCCCTTGACCCGCTGTCGGGCAGCGCCATGTGAGAAAGCCGAGCTCCGTCTGGCTGCTTGATGACGACCATGCAGGCCCCTCATTTTCACTTGGTGGCTCTGTCCCTTGCTGGCCCTGGCGATTCTGTCCTGTCTCTCTACTGCCCCAGGTCACGCTGTCCTCTGCCTTCCCGGCCACCAGCGGCCACCCCAGCAGCCAGGGTCCTGCCCCGCGCTCTGCGCTTCTGCTGCCTTTGCTCTTCCTGACCGCCACACTCTGCCCACCTCCCCTTTTGTTTTTTTGTAACAGTTTTACTGAGATAGCACTCATGTACCATTCACGGCACCCACTTGAAGGGCACCGTTCAGTGGTCTTCGGTGCACCCACAGTGGCACATCTGTCAGTCACCACCAATTTCCGAGTGTTTTCATCACCGCCCCCCCCCCGCCCTGTCCTCAGAAACTCCGTCCTCATTAGCGGTCACACTGCACGCCCAACCTCAGTGAGCACTAATCTGCTTTCATTCCCTACGATCTGGCCCTTCGGGACAGTCCACACAAATGGAATCACACGGAGCCCGCAAGTTCCCTGTTCAACGCCACTAGGTCTCAGGCTACAGGGCATCGGACAGGGGTCTTCCCTAAACACTCCCGAGGCAGAGAGGCCACCGTGCTTTGTGGTCAGGTGCCTGGACTCCGGAGCCACCTGCCCGGGCCCTGCACTTCGTAGCTTCAAGGCCTTGGGCAAGTTGAGTGATGCCCGCTGACCTCGGTCTCCTCCTCTAATAAAATGGGGTCAACGGCGCTCCAGCTCAAGGGTTCTACAGAAAATGAAAGAGTTAACACACAAAGTGCCGCGAATAGTATGGGCGCAGTCAGCGCTCAATAGGTGCTCGTTCTTGCTGCCACCGTGTTGCCAGTGCAGACTGAGGACATTTGCAATTTCCCTCTCTGCAGAGAGGCCAGGGAGGGGCTGGGTCGAGGAGGGCTGGTGGCCAGCAGCGGCTGCAGGCAGCGCGTCCGCTGCGGCAGGAGGGCTGCGGGCTGTGTCCCGCTTGCCTCTCGGACACTTCGAGGAGGAGCGGATAGCCCAGAGGGCTCTGGCACCAACCCGACTCCGGCCCTCAACCACAGTGTGACCGTCAGTGGCTGGACTGGGTCCCCCAAAATGGGACACGTGGAAATCCTAGCCCCGGGTACCTCGGGATGTGAGCTTGTTTGGAAATAGGGTCTTTGTGGATGGAAGTTACATTAAGATGAGGACGTACTAGACCAGGGGGGAGGGGGCCTCCAATCCAATGACCGGTGTCCTTTGGAGAGGTGGCCTTGTCAAGACGCAGAGACTGGAGTGCTACGTCTACACACCAGGGAACGCCGGCTGTGCCAGAAGCTAGGAGAGAGGTGTGGAGTAGGTTCTCTGTCAGAAGGAACCGACCCTGCGGACACCTTGATTTTGAACTTCTGGCCTCAGGCTGGTTGTTTTTGCTGTTTTAAGCCACCCAGCCTGCCGTGCTTTGGTTACAGCAGCCGAGTGCAGTAACAGCCCCAGGGTAAGCCAGCTGCCCCGCCCTGAGCCCCGGCTTCCTCATCTGCACAGTGGCGGGGCTTGCACACCAGCCCCGACGGCGGCACACGGCAGCTACTCCGGAACAACCAAGTGTGTGCGAAGCACCAGTGGGAGGCGGGTGGGACACACATCTTTTTAAAACCAGCCATGTGGCCATGGTGAAGAAAAGCTTTGTTCTCCCCTGTGCTTTCCGGAGAGGGGCCAGGTGCAGGGAAGTTTTCCTCTCCTTTTTTCTCCCCCCTAACTTTAATTTAAAAAAACTCTTCCTGACTGCCAGCAGAGCCTCTGCGCTTTTTTCCACGCGGATATAAAAACGCATCTGGACTCCGAGCTGAAATGGCCCATTCCGAGCTTTACAACACACGCGTTCTCAGCTGGCGAGGCAGGGAAACAGCCGGATCGGGGGAGCTGGGGTTTTAAGACGGGGGAGAGATTGGTCGGGAGTCTGGCGCGGCGGGCACTCCATCCTGGAGCCAGGGACCCTGAGGAGCTGTGGTCCTGGGGTGGGGGCACCGACAGGCTGCATCTGGCGGAAGCGAAGCCCGACCTTAGACGAGTAAAATAACAAGGCCTGGGAGGGGGGCGGAGCGAATGCCCTGGACGCGGCCTCTAGACTCCAGCCATCACGCTCTGATCTTCTCTTACCCTTGGAAGCCCTGTGCCCCACACCCTGGCGAGGCCCTCGTTCACTGGAGGAGGGCTGAAAACGCCCCCTTGGCCCCCCTGGCATAACCCCTGGTGAACCCTCCCCTCGGTCAGGGCTTTTCACTCTCAGAGGTGAGGAGCCACAGCTGGCGCCGCTGGGGGCTGTGGACCTGAGCCACGTGGGTTCAAATCCCTGCTCAGCCACGTGGAAGCTCTGGGATCCTGGGCAAGCTGCTCAGCCTCTCGGAGCCTCAGTTTCCTTGTGTGTGAGAGGGCGGTGGCAGCAAAGAACAGACCGGAGGATTGAATGGACTAACACTTGCCATGCCTTCTGGAACAGCCTCAGCCTCACTGAGCGCTGGCTGTTATTGTTATTATGTTTGCCCTCCCCTTCCCACTATCACCCTGAAGCAGGAACAATGGGAGGCAGGATACAAAAGCCCTTTTGTACGTGAAGCCTGAGCACAATGTGTGGTTCTCTAGAAATAGCAGGGTTACCCTTCCTGGTTGTAGTCCCCTCAGGTTAATGTGAAATCAGGTTGCCGTCCCCAGTGCCCACGGCCTCGGGGGGGCAAGGTGGTGGCCTCAAACTGTCACAGGCAGCAGGGACAGTGACTCATGGCTAACACTGGCCTTCGGTACTCCAGAGCGTTTCATTACAAGAACCCAACGAGCATCAGCTGCACCTGAGGCACGTGAGGGAGTGGGCGGGGCCTCGGGCAGGTGCAGGGCATGGGGAGGGGCTCCGCCCGCGTCCCGCCTGAAAGCCACCAGCGCCTCCCATCCCGGTCTCCACGCCAGCACTTGGCTCTGCTGAGACCTGCACCACCTTCTCCCCAGAGCGTGTATAAACCCCGGCTCCAGGCACGGTGCACCCTGCTGGGAAGGCCTTGGGACCCCGTTCATTATGGGGTGCTCCACGGCTGGCGCACGGTCCGGGGTCCTGACAGAGGAAGTGGCAGCCACGCGTCCCTGGCCCTTTGTGTCCCTGCAAACCCTGCCTGGCTTCCTCCCGTGCAGGCCAAGAACCCTTCCTCACTGTGGCTCATGGTTTTCCTGGGTTTCACAGAGCTCTGAGCACATGGCCTCTGCCTATGTGTGGGGACAGACATTTCCCCCCGTTTCAACCAAGGGACAATCGATGCTCTGGCCCAGTTCTGTGCCCAGGTCAGCGTCCCTCCTGCTGTCCCTTTCAGCCTCCATGCGCTCCGCTTCTGGGCCTCCGCAGTTCTGCTCTGGCCTTGGAGGGGCCCCTCACGGCTGCTGGCCGGCGGGCTGGTGGTCTGGGGCAGGCCAGGTGCCCCCCGCCCCCACCGCGCCCTGCATGCCCGTCCGTCATGCCTGCTTGTGTGCCGGTCCCCTCGGTGCGGCCGTGGGCCTTGGAGACAAGGCCTCTCTCCTTGCTACCAGAGTGTGCTCAGTAAATATTTATAGAGCAAGCTGGAGTCCCCTTCCCTGCAGCTGGAGGTCCTCCCCAGCCCCCGTCACAGTCACGATTCAGACTAGAGAGAGGGCAGGGAGGGGAGCACGTCTCATCCTCGACTGCCCACGCGCTTGCGACACTGTGCCTTTTGCTTAGGACGAGGCCTGGCATGCGCAGAGTCCTGGGCCTGATGTATGCAGGAGGGGAAGACCAACAACCACGGCCCTGGGGCCTCACGGGATGGAAACGGGGGCCCAGGACGTGCCAAACCGCCCAACCCTCAGCTGGGTCATGGCAGAAGCCTGGTACCCAGAATGGCACCCTAAGGGGGCATCACGTGGCGCCGGACCTCTTCCTGGCGGCTCTCTTCCTGTTACCACCTGACGGCCCGGGGCTGGCTATTCCGGCTCCGCCTCCCGCCGCTGTTCCCTGTGCTTTTGGAGCTGACTCCCCGGACCATCGGTCAGTCCAGGCTCCCTGGCCCCTGGCTTCCCCCAGCGTTAGCAAAGGGGAGGCACCAGGGGGACAGAAGGGCAGGAGAGGGGTGGGCGTCCTCCCCGCTCCCTTATCCCAGGGCCGCGGCTCTGGCCCAGGGCCCCTCCTTTGCCTCCACGCATCCCTTTAGCAGGTGGTGACAGCCCCCAGCGTCACTGGTCCCTGGGGGCTTCCCCATCCCTGGTGAGTCCGAGCCCTACTGACCCCCTGGAGATCTCCTTCATCGGAGCCATCTCAGTGCAGGCTGTTTCCTGATGCAGATGGCTGCCCAGGTCTCTGCCCCGCCCCGAGGCAGGTGGACTTACACTCTGGGCGGCAGGCCCTGTGCCGACAATTGGAGGCCGACAAAGACGCTCTGCGCCTCCAGTCAGAGTCCAGAGCTGCCCCGTCCCCTGGCTCTCTGGCTTGGACCGGAATCACACCTCTCTGGCCTCCTCTGACCTGAGCCACCGGCTATGGGCACCGCGAGTGCCAGCCTCAGCTGCGTTCTCCGCTTTCCCAGGAAGGAAATCTGCGAAGGCGCAGGGGCGTGACAACGCGGCCTGACCGCGACCAGGTCTGGCAGCCATCTCTCCAGA